ATGGTGTCCCATCATGGCCCGATCGGCTAGGGCATCTCACGTGAGACATCAACCTTTCAATCAATCATCTCACTTTATATTCCTTTCCCATCTTTCAATACATTGGCACGAGTGGCCTCATTTATTAAGTCATTCTTGGCACTTGACCGTATTTCACAATTCAAGTTTTCCTTTTTATACATTCAATAACATTATCATCAGCAACAATAAGGCCTATCATGTGAGGCGTTTACACATAAGGGAAAAACTTGAAAAATCCTAAGCACATAGAGGCCTTTCATATAAATTGGCATAACCACCTTTATTCAATTTTTGACATGAAGTCTTAGCCTTTCTTAACACATATTCCAAATTTTTAAACATATCCTTAAAGGGCAAGATGACCTAATAAGCATTTTGTACAAATATTGAACATATATCATTCAACACAACACATTTGGGATAGTCGATTCTAGTATGATCAATTTGGGGACTTACACCCATTTACACGAACACCAGGAGCTTCAACTCTAAGAAGAAGGGGGTTTACCCATACATACCTCAATTGAGCTTCTTAAAACTCTAAGATGTTCCGGAATATTAGCAACTTCAATGTCTTTTAGCAATATCGCAAAATTGAACCCAAAATTAGGAAAATGATCATAATTCTAGCTCACTTGAGCATTTTATCAAACACTATGTGTGCATTACAGTTTTAAGGCCTTTTATGAAAGATTCTACCATTCCTCCACCCATTCTTAGTTCAAAACCTCCCCACATACTTTAGGAATACATGCATGCAAGATATCCATCCCCACACCCAATAGTTGTCTTACTATTATCTCCCTTTTACTAAATTTTCAAAATTAAAAGTTAGGGTATAGATTCTTACCTTTAATAAGAGAACCATCTTGATAATCTTCAAGGATTTAGCAAGAATTGATTGATATTAGTTTGAAGGTTGATTTCTCTCTCTAAGAACTCTCTCCCTCACTCTAGAAATATCAGAAAATAGCTCAAAATGGAGTATGATATGTGTTTTTAACGGAATAAGGCCGCGTTTAAAGATTAGAAAATAGGAGCCCCGACACAGATCTGCGGTCGCATGCGTTTCGCAAATTGGCCACATAATTGGCCCTTCGGAACTAAAATTTTTCTACCTCGGTCGGCGACCAGTCTGCGATCGCAGAATGCACCGTAGAACTCCCATCTGACAAATCTCAAAGTTGGATATTCGATCAAAATGCGGCCCGCGAAATGGTTTTACGATCGCATAATGGGCCGCAAAAGTGACATCAAAATTGGCCAAAAAGACTGCCTCATTATGCGGCCATTCTACGGCCCGCAAATTGATTCTACGGCCCCATAGTGGGCCGCAGAAATGCTCTTTTTTTGCAAACCATTTTTCTTTAACTTTTTAACGTAATGTTCAATCCGAAAAGTCCAAACCGCAGCAAGCTACTACTATTAACCTCTACGCCTACTTCGACACCACGGAATCCGGGTTTTTAGGAAAAACATTACGGGGCCTTACACTTTTGCGGCTCCGCACCTGCGCCCAATGCTCCGCAGGTACGGTCACACCAGAACCAACAGCCTCAGCAATTCAACACGAAATAAAAATGACCTTATGGAGCTAACAGAACCATCAAAACTCCAATTCTATGTCAAATACTAAAAAGTCAAACTTGATCGACTCTTCCAATTTTAAAGCTCCCCAATTGAGAATTATTCTTCCAAATCGATTTCGAATGACCTGAAAACCCAAAACCGACGGTTCATACAAGTCATAATACATCATACAGTGCTACTCATGCCCGTAAACTACGGAGCGAAGTGTAAAAGCTCAAAATGACCGGTCGGGTCGTTACAAAATACCATGCCAATTAATATTCGGTCAAGTCTTGAGTTACAATTCCATCCAACGTGAAATTATTTTTTAAAAAATAATTGATCTTCTAAAGGGATTAAAAGTCAATAATATTAAAAGAATATTTTAGTTGATCAACATTTAATGTTTTGATATTTGTATTTTTATAGATAGATAGAAAGATAGGTAGATATAAAAAATATATAAATATAAATAAATGCGTTACGTTGCCGATTAGAGCCGACATGCGGATGGACTATATTCCGGAACGCGTTCTTATTACGAAGAGTTTGACCGAGAAATGAGATGCCAAATCTTGTACGAGTAATATTATGCAGAGGTCTTCAAAGAAATGATTATGACTAAAAGTTTCCTTTAAAAAAAAGGGAGAGAGAGAGAGAGAAAGAAAGAAAGGTTAAATAATGAAAAGAGACATGGAAGGCATGTTAGATGTTACCGAAGGTAAAAAATAGGTGGGGAAAGTGGGACCCGCATTGCCGGCAGAATAAACTACATTGCTGATTTTAGGTTATGAGCTAAATCATGAGACTTACTCAAAGTCAAGATTTTGTGTTTTCCTTCGGTCATCACTACTTTGAATATATTTATATTTATGTATAAGACTATAGAAAACTATCAAGCAATGGAAAAAGTACCAACTTGTGGAACATCATCATTTTGTGCTTGAATTTCGTTATTACCGACTTGACTTTTTCTGCCTTTTTTGGACAATTTATTCACAATTCTCTACTAATCACAAATGTTTAGTCATAGGCTTTATAACAGATGACTAAACTTTGCATTTAGAGTCAAGAAATTAATCTAAAAGTAGAAAAAGTAAGTTTTGACTTGAGAGATAAGAAAGTTTATTTGGTGGATTTGAAATATAGGTGTTTGTCGGTTGGTACGGTATCGGTATTTAGATATTTTGGTTCGATATTTTTAGTATTCGATTTCTTAAAATGCTATACAGATATCATATCTAATTAAAATCGGTTTGGCTCGATTTTTCTCTTTTCATTGTCGATTTATTCGATTTGGTAACTTCGCGTTGTTCAGCTCTACTACTAACTAGTGCATAGAATAGACGGTAATATTCTTAAATAAGGTACTCACAAATTCAAAAAACGAAAACGTTACGGTATACTGAAAAAACATTGAAACCAAAAAATGCTAAATCTAAAAGGAGGAAAGGTCGAACCATAATTAGGTAACCAAAAAAGGGGAGAATCGTAAGTATAGTATTAAAAGAAGATGGGAAAGGTTTAAAAAAAAAAAAAAGGGAAAGTAGAATTTTAGACCTTTTAAATTTGTGTTATAATCAATAATATGTGTATTTGTCTAATTTAATATATTTTTGTACGGTATCAGTATTTCGATATTTTATTTTTAAATACGGAATACCATACATACGAAATTTTTTTATCTTTAAACTTAGACAAAATACCAAATACCAAGTACCAAAATTTTCCATTTCGATATGGTAATTCAGTATTTACCAAATTATGCACAACCCTAATTTAAACACCGATGAACTCAGATTTGAAAACCAATTACAAATTTGGACTTGGCAGGTTATGTGTCACCGAGATTTGGTCTTTGTGTCGTGTTTTAACCATATGAGCTCGGGTTAACATTTTATGACTTTTGAGATTTTGATAAAGATGGAATCTTTATCACGTAGGATTAATTCTTATAGCATTATTTAACCTTGTTGATTATTCTTTAGCTAGATTTTGGGCATTTGGAGGCCGAGATTAAAGAAAAAGGCATTTTAAAGGTTGAAGCCTACTTCGAATATGGTAAGTGTCCTGATTAGCCTCGACTTGAGGAATGTCTCCTAAAATGGACTTCTGTATTACATGTTGCGTATTTGGGGGTAACGTATATGCGAGGTAACGAGCGTATATGCGTACACCCAGGATTACCATGTTCGGCTTGTTTTGATTTATGTTCTTTTTACAACATGCTTTAGTTATGGCTACTTAGTATTTTTATTCATGCTAGGAATCATGGCTAAAGTTTGTGACCCTTTATGTTAACAAGATGGACCTATCGTATGTTGACAATATTAAGCATTTCTTAATTTGTTGTTTAATTTTAGGTTGAGAGAAAGCCGAAATGATAAATTTGAGGGTTTAGGTGTTAGATCAATCGGGATACACATAAATCAACTAAAAATTGTTGCAAGTAAAAGTGAAATTTTTTTTTTTACTTGCATTGGTCCAACCCACGAGTCTTTATATTGTAAATCATAAATCATATAAACACAGGCTAGCAGACAAGAGAGGGTTTTGTCTATCTGAGTGAATGATTTTTTTTTCCAGTACAAAGTTGTTCGTATAAAAAGCTGATATTTTTTCCCCAAATGGTTACAATTATTTCCCCCCCTTCATAAATGACATGAGCTCATTCTTGCTTAAAAGGAAGCCCTTTCCATAAACTAAGGAAAAAGAGAAGGACGTGGGCCTTGTGGGCACTACTCAAATACAACCAACCAATATTTTTTCTACACCAAATATAAATTTGTAACAAATTCAGAAAGGATACACAATAACTTTGTTCCTCAATTTTTTTTTTATTTTGTAATTATTTTTTTTTTGGTGAGTGGAATGTACTCTGAATAAGGGAAGCAAAGGTAAAAGAGAGAAGGTTATGGTATATCGTAAAACTAAAACATTGTATTGATCCATGTAGGCAAGGGCGAAGGCACACTTGGTTAGGGTGGTAAACCGACCACCCTTTCTAGGAAAACTACTACTTATATAGGTAAAATTTTATATTTTAAAGGAACATAACATGTATTGAACACCCTTTGTCGGATCATTTTTTTTTTACTTATTTCAAGTTTGAACTTGAGAAAATTTCTAACTTCGCCACTGCATATAGGATGAAGTTGCAACTACGAGGCTGTAACTCTATCCTCAATATATAACAATCTTCAAAATTGAATGGGCTAATGTCACTGCACATTTTTGGCCTGGTATATTTTCTTTAAATTCAAAAAGAAAGATCCAAAAGCCGACTTTCATTTTAGAAGTTCGGAAAAAAATACAAGGTGAGATGGTGGAAGTGTGTAAAGTGACCAGTCATGAAAAGAATAAGAATAAAAATAAAAAAGCTACTACCAAGCAACTAGAAAACTTGAAAAGAATAGAGAAAAAAATGGCCGTACCATTAGAATATGTAATTTCCCGGCCATAAATGATTTCAATCCATACATAGGATTTAGTACAATATTTATTCCAAATTCACATTCATAACCCCCCAAAAATAGGAACAAAAGGGTATATAAATAATCACATGAATTTGCATTTGTACCACTCTTAATGGCAAATAGTAGTACTCTTTCTTCGGATCATGTTTCTTGAATTCAGATCTTTAGGAACATGTGTAAATAGCTCAGGAGGGATAGACAAGGAAGGAGAACATGAGTTGAGCGGGAACAAAGAAGGACACTAAACAAATTCTACATCGAAAAGCCATGATGTAAGATTTACGAGAATACAAAACACAAAAATATAACACAAAACACGGGGTCTTACAAGGTCAATAAAAGGTCTTACAAGGTCAAGAAGACTCGGCTAGGTGGAGGAATAAAAAGCAACAAGTCAAAAAATTAAAAAAGAAGAGAAAAGAAAAATAGAAAACGAGAAAAGGTGATGAGAAAGCTCAGCTAAGATAGCACCGAAATTAAGATGAAGAGGTAACTCCCATCATGAGAATGAGAATGAAGAAGTTGCAGGTGCAGATGACTAAAACAAAGCCCTGGCTAAGGTGGCCCCTAACCTTTCCATCAGCTAAAGATGCCATTAGGCTTACAGTTTCCAGTTTTTGCAGCCTTTGGCTTGAAGCTGCTGGATTTACTCCACTCATACGCGCCAAAAGCTTTAAAGAAACCTGCATCCGAAAAAGAAAAAGTCATTACCTTTTAATACTATTCGAAAAATAAATAAGTGATAATGATGAATAACTAGAAAATAATGTTAAATTTATACAAGAAGAAAAAGAAAGAGGTGTGTTTTTGGTTGAGAAAAGGAAAATTAAGGTTGGGAATTGGAGTAAAATTAAGGAAAGATAGGTCGAAGTAAATGGCAGAATAAGTGAAAAGATAAGTTGGGAACCTTGTGGAGATTTCAGTGTTGCTTTCTGCACTGCAATATTTTCTCTCAAACCCATAAAAATGTGCCACAAACTAGAGAGAGAGAAAGAGAGAATAGAAGGAAAGAGGGGAATGAAGAAAGGAAGGTATAGAATGGGCTTATAAGGAGATGGGATTTTGAGGGTAGCCAGTCGGCTGGATGGACCTGACAGTGACAAAATTTTATCTTGGGAAATTTTCAGCTATGTCCATTTATAAGTTGCTCATTACAAAAATTGGCCAATTGATAGAATATTACTAATATTAGCCAAATTAGTCAATTAACTATTTGTAGCAAAAACATATTAAATTTTTGCTTTGTTTTGAGTAGGTGTTATTAGAATAGATTGGGCACAACTTAAGGAGCTTGAATCTCAGTTTTGGGATGATTTGGTGAAGTTTTGAGGTGATTTGAATTGAAAATTCGAAGTAAAAGCTGAACATGAAAAAAAAAATGATATGTGTATCATTTGTGTATCACATATGTATCATATTTATATCAATTATGTATCACATGTATATCCATGTATACCTGTGTGTGTGATACATGCGTGATATATGTTTGATACATGTGTCGCAGAAGGCTTTTTGAACTCGATTTAATTACGAATTTTGATACAAAACCAGTCCAAATCACCTCCAATCTTCCTCAAATTTTGTATATTGACTTATCTATTTATTTTCAATGAATTTCAACTATACCCATTGAAAAAGTTCCTTTTTTGTTTAGATTTTTGGAATATTGTATAGATTTTTGTATTTCATCACCTTATTTGCTACCCCGTCCATGAAATTTCCTTTCCGTCTTGTATCTAATGTTGCTAATCACGCTTAAAAATATGGAATGTGATTTTTGCATGTGATTCTTTGAGAGAAAGAACCCTATTATTTGGTTTTTCAATTTTTGTTGGCTAGTTTTGGTAAGTCTATGACTAATGGCTAGTGGTTGGTAAGTTGAGATTTATTTGGGACATTTGTGTAAGTTTCCCTTTTATCTTAGCCAAAACACAATGTTATTAGCTTCCTCGCGAATATATTTTTGAAAACAGCAAGGGACTAGCCAGTTTATGCACTGATAATTGAAAAATAACCATCATTTACAAAGTCATGGAAAAATAACCACTATTTTATTGAAAAGCGAAAAGTTCCTGCATAATATATTGTATTATGGAGCTCTTACGGATAAGCTTCCAGCATATTATGTTGGAACTCCAACATATTAAGAAATTCCAACATATTATGCTGGAATCTCATATGTAAAAATTCGAACTTCAGCATATTACGCTAGTTTATTCTGGATTTTTAGGGTGTTTTTGTTCAGATTTTATCTTTACATGAAAAAGTGGCTAATTCATTTAATTTTGAAATTGTGATAATTTTTCAATTACTAGTTGTAAATCTGATTCATAAAATGTCCTTGTAAATTTAGTTGAGATAGGAAAAAAATTCAAATAAAAAAGTTAAACTAAATCTTCCATATATGCATTCAAAAATTAATTCTATAAATTTGATTAAATGTTTTTGATAATATCCATGGGTGTAATTTCAATACTTCAAGCACAATACATGTTACAAGTCTTATAAATGAGCAAATCTTTTTGATAAGTATTCCCTAATTAATTGTAGGTTGTTCATTTCATAGAAATGAAAAAAATTAGGAAAATTTATTATGTTTTTGAAAATAATAATGTATCTGTCAAATATATATCTAATATATTAACTTATTATCTAAAATATTTTTCAAAGTTTCTCATATTCTCCATTAAATGCTAACAGGTATTTAATTCGCCTTTATCAATATCATTCTCTTCGAGTTCGTTGCCTTCGGACCTGATTGTCTTCTGTGTTCGGCTCCACGTGTCGTTTTCTCATGCGAACATTTAATACGAACGTATTTTACCCTATACAATACTGGTTAGAGAAGTTTGTCACATCTTCTTTTCCATTCTCAGCTTTATATTTATATATAGATGATCGTTAAAAATAAAAATAACAATAACAAACCCAGTGAAATCCTACAAAGTGAGGTTTTGGGAGTCTAGAGTGGACGCGGACCTTACCCCTACCTTACAAAGGTAGAGAGGTTGTTCCCGATAGACCTCCGGCTCAAGAGATAAAAACTAAAAAGCAGCAGAAACAACAAATAGTAACCACAGCAAGCGAAGGTGATATAATAATTGAAGTGAAAGAAAGGATATATAGTAACATAAATATGCAAATACGAAAAAATAAAAATATGAGACTAACACTAATGATACCGGCATGAAAATATGACACGTCCGCTTAACCACTACCCTTCTGCATTAATTCTCAACTTCTATACCTCCCTATCAAGGATCATATCCTCAGTAAGCTGAAGTAACACGATGTCATGCCTAATCACCTTTCCTCAATACTTATTATGCCGCCCTCTACCTCTCCTCAGCCTCACATTGCCAACATCTCACATCTCCTCACTGGAGCATCTATGCACCTCTTCTTCACATGCTCGTACCATTTCAATCTAGCTTCCGTCATATTGTCCTTTACGGGTGCCATTCCCACCTTTTTCTGAATATCAGCATTCATTATCTTATCTAACCTGGTATGCCCATACATCATTTTCAGCATCCTCATTTCTGCTGCTTTTATCTTCTGGACATACGTGTTTTAAAAATAAAACATAAATAACTAAAGATTAAAAAAAAAACATATCACTAAGAGTAAATACTAATTGTATCACATTTAATAAGTATTACTACTGACAGTTCAAAATTTAAAGCAGATGTAATAAATGTAAAAGAAAAAAGGTTAAAGAAAGAGGAATTGGGAGAAGAGAATAATATTTGGGAAATTGGAAGGACAAGCGTGTGGCACGCGGGTAACCCTCAAGAACAGGCATTGCCTTCACGGTCTTTTAAGATGCGGTCAAACGAAACTCCTATGCTTCTAGGCCTGCATTTTTCACTTCGATAATTCCCCTACTTGTATCTTATTCTAATTCTTCCGCAATAATTATATTCTACTCTAATTCTTATGTATGGAACATAACACGTGTTTACCCTTAAAATGGATAATAATTTGAATTTATATGTGGTTTTAAAGATATGTTTATTGATTCAACATAAATGATCAAGAATGTTAGATAAGCGAATTAAAGATAAAATAATAACCAAACCAGTTGTGACATTGAGTCCAGGCTCGGATATCAGCTTAACAATTGCTTTGCCCTCGACTCGGAGCCAAACGTGTATGAAGAGTTATGATTAAAACAAGAACCTTTCAATAACTAGAAAAAAGAGAAACAAGTTTGTATTGTCTTGATATGCGTGTTATAGTGTATCCCTATCAAATAAAAACTACCTCTTTTATATAGTAGGAGAGTTTCACTCCTAGTACAATTCTAAGAAAGGTAAAAATTATCTTTTTTCATTAATCACTAAACCACTGCCGATGTAGGCCGAGATCTGCGTCGTGATATCCAGTGGAGTGCAGATATCAGGTGTTTCTTTTGCCTTACTGATGGGAAGTTTGGATCCAAACTTAGCTTGTGTACCAGCACCTCTAATGGGATACATGTCATATCCGAGCCAAAAACCACTTCAGAAATAGGGACACCAATAACAAACCGAGCAAGATGAACCTCAACACATCATCAACATGATCATTGGAGGGGTCGATGTACCTCAAGGGCCGATGATAAAACGCACTAAAGTATCTATAACGATGGAGAAACACACTCGAGACTATAGCTGAAGGGTCGGATCCCGTATAACAACCGAGCTCTTTACTTCAACGACGAGGATGCCGAAGGCATCGTGCAACCTCATAATAATGCACTGTTAATATCCGGTTTTAAAGATATGTGGATTAATTCAACACAAATGATCTCGAATGTTAGATAAGCGAATTAAAGTTAAAATACATAATAAAACCAGTTGTAACGTTGAGTCCAGGCTCAGATCTAAGCTTAACAATTATTCTTCCTTCGATTCGGAGCCAAACGTGTATGAAGAGGTATGATTAAAATAAGAACATTTCAATAATTAGAAAGCAGAGAAACAAGCTTGTATTATCTTGATATGCATGTTACAGTGTCTCCCTATTGAATAAAAACTACCCCCTTTATATAGTTGGAGAGTTTCACCCTTAGTACAATTCAAAGAAAGGTAAAAATCTTCTTTTTCGTTAATCACTGATCCATTGACGATGTAGGTGTCACACCCCAAATCGAGGGACATGACCGGCAGCCCGACCGGGTAGCCCCAGTCAAGCGGACCTGGGTGCCTTTCCTAACCCACGTGTTATCCCATGTTTTTATTACTCAATATTCCAAGAATTGGCCATATATATAATTAAGAACACCTTTTTACAAAGCATACATACGTACATAGTAACTAATGAAATTACCAATTCATTGCCCAACATGTGAAACATGGATTTACATAAGTTCATAACCCACATCTACTGTATACGGAGGCTCTAAAGGTACAACAGGATAATACAGTATTTGCCGGTAACAAGGCTCCGGCTATACCTTACACAAAAACCAAAATAAAACTCCGGAAACAAAGCGGCCTGAGCCACGCAGGGCCCCAAGAGGAAAGGGGCTCACCAAAACAGCTGATGGAAGACGAAGGAGAGCTACGATCGGTGGACTGGAGTACCTGCTACGGATCCACCTACAATCATAACACGAATGTAGAGCCCCCGACTAAAGGGACGTCAGTACATTTGAATTGTACTGGTATGTATAAACAAACTTTGCCCTGGATAACCTCAAACCATACACAAGTAACAAACAATAAAGAAATCAACAATTAAATACACACACAGAAACAATCAAGGCAAACAAGTTAACAATCTCTCCTTTTCCCCATCATCATTTCCACATCATTAATTTCACAATTTTCTCATATTTCATTTCAATAGTGATATCGATCACTTTCCACCCTTATTACCTCGGCCACCCTTATCATCACAACCCACACCTTATTACTTCGTGTTGCGGCACGCAACCCGATCCCACCGAGCAATCACAATTCACAAATAATACCACAACAATAACAATTTACAAGGATAACAACAACAAGTCTCAAGAACAACAACAACAAATCCCAATAACA